GTGGTAGTTTGCTTTATTGCCTTGGTTCTCATTTGGAAATGCCATGTCGTAGAAACAACTTCGACTTCTCGTGCTTCAAAAGAACTAAAGATGAAAAGGAAAACCTCTTCAGGAAACTCAGTTTACTAGGAGAACCTTTGATGTGACGGTAACATTTGCTGCGTGTGTTTCCAGAGATGAGGTGCCCAATGACCTGTCGGGTCGGCTCTACCAGCTTGAGGTGATGCTAAAACAGCTGAACAATGATCTGGAGAAGGTAAGACTCGATGAGGAGATAAAAAGAAGTAAATGCAGAGCAATTGTGGAAGAAAACCTGTTAAAGCTGTGGATTTTTTTTTTAAATTAGTGTTTTGTTCATTGCTTTACCCTGTTCCTGCTGTGGAATACTATTACAACATATTAATAACACTAATGATATCAAATAGTCATGAATTGAAACTGTCTCAGTTAATTTCTTTTGTTTTAACTCCAAAGTTTCAAACCTTTAAATGCTTGAATTTTACTGTGGGAAGTGTATGAACCCTGTGTGTGGTGCTGGTAGCTGCCTGCAGCTGTTTCTACAACGTATTGGCTCAGGAGTGTTGCAAACAAATTAATTTTTAATATACCAAAAATAAATAACTTTCCCTCCCCTAGCCAACGACTCACTACCTTCTCATGGGTTCTCAGCAGGAGCGTCACGTCTTTGTTGTTGTTGTTGTTTTTTTCCCCAGGAGAAGCAGGATAAAGTCGTCCTGCTGGCAGAGATGGCGAACCTGAGAGAAAACAACCAGCGGCTGCAGGAGGAGAGTCTAACGGCCAGCGAGCAGCTGCGCAAGTTCAACGTGCTTTTCACCAACCTCAAGACTGGAAGTGACCATGAGACTCAGCCTGTGACGCAGGATGTCAGCTCCCAACGGGAGTGACGGACCGGAACCAGGCGGGAGGGGCGTGGGCGGGTATATTTAGCTACCCAGTGGGACTGCCTTAAACCAGAGAGTGTGAGAACAGACCACCTGGACTTGTAACATGCAGCTCTCCCAGAGAGTCTGCACCTGTGTGTACTCTGAGCCCCTTTATTTTTCTAAACTGAAGTGAAAACATCTCATTGGACTCGTGATGCTACTATGCCGGAGGAGCAAGCAGGAGAAGACTGTTTTAGAGAACACTACGTCACCTGGAGAGGCCTAATACTGTTTCTGCAGCAAATCAGCCAAAAAAAAAAACAAGAGAGACTGCATCTCCCAGAATGCACTACACATTGTGGAAGCTCTACAGGTATGATTATACAGACGCCTGTGCGGTACGATTCTCATCATCAACGTCAAACTAATATACTAAAGACAGAAGTGTGAGTGTAGTATTAAGCTCCTGAGAGGCACTAAAATGTTTGTGCTTGATGCGCCTGGCATTTAATTCCTCTAGTGTGTGTGTGTGTGTGTGTGTGTGTGTGTGTGTGTGTGTGTGTGTGTGTGTGTGAAAAGTGACAAACAAACTTGTTTACTGTAATATAAACCGTTCAGGCTCTGTTCTCTGTTAACGAGGATGTACTGTGGCTCTCAGATGTGAACCGAACCCCCGTCGTCGTTCTGATCTGGGATGATGTCATAAAACTAAACTCAGTGAAACAATAACATCGTATCTTCTAGGTTTGACTTCTTGCTTTAGCAGAACCCGATCATCTCAGATCCAAACCCTCTGGATCTTCGTTTTAACCTCAGTTACTACAGTGTGTCTCTTAACGAACAGCCATGACGTTTTGAGTTATGCTTTTATTTTGAGACCCGATCTATAGCGATGTAAAAGATTAAGTTTTATCATTTTATAAATAAGATAAGTTGACTATAAATTATTTCACTTTTAGTTCTGTTTTAAAGGGGGAGGTGTTATGTAAAATTAACTTTTTTGAACTTTATATCATAATGTTATTCCCTCAACAAAAACATACCCGAAGTGTTGCTTTGATTCTTTCGTGCATGTTCTATGAAACCTTGAATCTCTGATGGCAGCTGTTCAGGGTGTCTATAAGTGCTTGGTTTGACAGAGCTCCACCCATTCCCACAGAGCTCCACCCATTCCCACAGAGCTCCACCCATTCCCACAGAGCTCCACCCATTCCCACAGAGCTCCACCCTGGAGCTGCACTCACCAGCTGAGCTTCAGCCTCCTAAGAGAGGCATAATGAGGAGCACTGTTGTGATGTCGTGCTGAAGGCGGAGGGTCGGGGCGAGTAGCAGCTTCTTAAAGAGACAGTGGCCCAATAACAACAGAGCGGCCCAGTTGTAATTGGGCCACTCTGTTGTACTGTAAAATGGCAGTATGTGCCTGGAAAATACATAATGCCTCCCTTAAAATTTCCAAGCCAGTAAATGTCGAATCAGATTGAAAGACAGACGACTATTTTTTAAGGTAAAACCTCCTTGTGACTTCTCAGGAGAGAAAATGAGCCTAATCCCTCAAAATGTCAACCTGTCCCTTTAATTTGTCAATATGAAGCTCTGTCGCCCTGGACATGTACTGGCAGGAAGCATCTACTGCACGTGAAAGTTCACTGAACAACACTATGTGTGAGCGTGTGTGAACAGGTACCTCTCAGTTAACTAACTTATCGTCAAAAAGTTCATTTATCTCAGTGATCTCATTTAAAAAACGCTGTTTAATACTCAGAGTGATGCATTTTATTCCTGACAGATTTCATGGATGCAACATAAAGCTAATAAAAAAAATCCAAGTCTGTCTCAGAGAATTCAAAAACAACAATAAAAAAAAAGTCAAAAGCTATTTTAATATCAGAACATTTTCTCCTGGCTACAGTCATCGTCTGTAGGATGCTCAAGTGCTGTAATCAAGCATAGAAATGGAAGATTAAGTGGAAGAAAAAAGTGTGGAAGACATGTCTGAGTTTCACTTTTTGAAATTTAACAATACTCTAATTTACTGAGAGGCCTCGTTTGTGTGTGTCCCCATATGCTATAATGAACCCAAATAAACAAAAACACTTTATACACCCAGCCTCCCTAATATTGTCTACTATAGCTATTTTCCTACAGAAGAGTGTGTTTTTAGGATCCCTGGTACTTTATGGACAATATATCCTAGCAGAGGATAAATCTGAGATATTTCTGATGAAAGCGTATCTGTACTTCTTTACTGAATTTTCCAACCCTCTCAGGTTCTTTGATGCTGTTAAGCGCTAAATCTCCACCATCAGAGACGATGTGCTGCTGTTTATACCGTTTTAGGCGTCCCTTTAATATTTCTGGGTTGAAGGACTTTTTAAAGACGGCGATGGAGCCGACCAGTCTGGAAAATAGCTTAGCTTGTTTGCATATAATCTACAAATTTAAGGGCAAATACGGACTTGTTTATCAACAGCTTACTAATTATTCTCCATGAGATGACAAAGTGCAAAAGGCTGTGATAATTTAGTGAGTTTCACATTTTTCCTGCCCTCTCGCTGTTTTGAAACATGACTTGAAATGAGACAAAAGGTTTTCCTCCTGCTTGTCTGTTACGTAGAAGTACAGCTTTAGCTCTGAGGTCACTGACCCTCTGAGGTCCAACACTTTGACCGATCAGACGGCAGCCATTTTGGCCCGGAAGCAGCTTCAGCCCTCATGTCTTCTCATGGTCGTAGTTAAGGACACCATCCTGTAGAAATGTTTTTTGTTGTTTTTTTCCACTCAGCTTTGTGGGTGTCGCTCTAACTTTAGTCTTAATTTCCTGTTTGCTTTTGTAAAACGGTTGCAGTTTCTCATTTTCTCTCTCTCTATATATATATTAACAAATATAAATCATGCTATGAATAATTTTTAAGCTATTTAAAGTGTACACAACTCCCCAACCCCTGTTGAACAAGGCAGTGATGCATCATTATTGGTAATTTTATTTTAATGTTAAATATTTTTGTAATTTATTTTTCAACCCGTTGGCCACTGTTGCAGAATAGTGAGAGAAGGTACTGTTTTAAACGTGCTGTTTTACCTCTGATTTCTGTTCATAGCTGATTTGTTTGATGCCTCTGGGCATCAGGGGTTCTTTCAGCATAAACAAAGCCTTCTGGATTTCTTTGTAATAACTTGTAAATTGTAAATTATGTTTTCATTATTTTATAAAAAAAAAAAATTAAACTATATGAACACTTGTTTGTCTTTTTTCAGTCCTTATTAAAAGTTGAGAGTGTATGTATTTTTCCAGATTAAATATCTTGTTTTGTATAATTTGAAAACATTTTGGTGGTAAAACTAGAGAACTGCAGCCAGTTCTAGAAAACTCATGGTTGCTGGAGAAATTTACACCACATATCTGGAAAATAAAAACCAAAGAAACTTCATTTTAGACATTTAAAGAGGGACTATTGGAAAATATTTTTCAAACATTTCTCCATACTTGCCTAACCTGGTAAAAATCAGCCTCTTGTGTCTCCCTCTGGTTTTGGCCGGGAAACTACGGTATTTTTACCGTCCTTTTTCCGCCTTGCTCCCGTATTAATCCTGCATTATACCACAGTTACTGTCACCGCCCTCCCTATTAACGTCAATTCAATATTTAGAAGCATGGCTAACACGGACTGAAGAGCTTCATTCACTTCTTCGGCTGCCATTGCTAAAACAGCGCAGAAAGATGACGTCATCGTTCACAATTTATCCTGTTCGCTGATTGGCCCGCTTTAAATTTTACTGGAGAAATCAATTTCAATGCAGGAGAAAAAAGCCCAGGAGCGCTGAAAGGAGATGGAAATGGCGTTAAATTGCGTAGGAACGACATGACCAGGCTAATACTTCCCCAGACCTACAAAAAGCCGTTGAATCAAGACTTAGTTTAAATTAAAGTCAATGATGTGGTTGAATCCCCTCATCATTCAGCTCCCTGGAGGCCTGGTAACATGTCATTCATTTGGTCCAGATCTAGACCTGAAGGTTGGACAGTAGCTCTAAGGACTGGGGTTGGACACTCCTGCCTTAATGCATCTAACCCACAAAGAAACTAGAAACATTTTGTGTTTAAGATGACAAAAGAAAACCAGTTACAATTTTTTTTATTTAATAAAAAAAACACTAACATCTTAAGGTTACAGATCAAGTATTATCTCTCCAGCGTTTCCAGCATGAGGAAACGCATTCAAGTCCCAGCAGGTTTGTTTACAGGCCGGACAGCCGCTCTAAGAGCCACACATGAGGCACTCGTCTCTGTTCTCCAGAGAGCAAACCATGGCTGCCTTGTTCCTCTCCTTGATCTCCTGCTCTGAGGTCTTGCTCTGCTGCACCTCCTTCAGCTTCTCCTTGTTCAGGGTGAACTGGATGGGGTTGGCTGCTGGCTTCGTCCTCAGGTAGTACATTCCCGTCTTCAAACCCTGTTATTAAGAAATAAACAATTCAGCCTCCCTGTTCCCAGACGCAGCTGAAGGCAGATATTTATGAACGATTCCTCAGTTTTCTTGATCAGTTAAGATTAATAAAATAATTTTTGATTTGCCAAATGTGAGAACAGCAGCGCGACATCAACTACTTGAGGACCAGTCCTGGTTCCTGACACCAGGAAATTTACACAGATTTCTGTCTCATTTTTGCCAACATTTTGGATCTCCTTCCACAAGCTTCTTGCTTCTTCGGGAAGTTTGGCGCATTATTGACCTCAAGTTCATTTGAAACCCAACGATATATCACAAGGTATGAAAATTCATTATTCTTGCTTTTAAATAATTTTTTCCCTAATGGAGGAAGCTTTCAGTTTGATTCAATATTGAACAGTGAGAATAAACAAGAAAGTTCTGTAAATGTGTGTAAATATCTGGTTTCAAGAGTAACATCTCTCTGGCCTCAGTGGGAGGTGTGACTCGCCTGCTTCCAGCCGTAGAAGTGCATGCTGGTCAGTTTTCCGTAGTTCGGCTCAGCGATGTGGATGTTCAGCGACTGGCTCTGGTCGATGAAGGCTCCACGGTCTGCCGCCATCCTCAGCACGGTCTTCTGGGAGATTTCCCAAACGGTTTTATACAGCTGCTTCAGGTCCTCTGGGATCCCGCTGATGTCCTGTCAAAATTAAACAACAATCTTTATTAGCGGAACCGAAGCTGAGAACGGGTTCGTGTCACGGTGAGCCGACCGTCACCTGAATGGATCCGTTGTTTGCAATCAGCTTGTTCTTCATCTCCTCGTTCCACAGGCCGCGCTCCGTCAGGTCCTTGAGGAGGTGAGGGTTGACGATCTGGAACTCTCCGGACAGCACCCTGCGGGTGTAGATGTTGCTGGTGTACGCCTCGATGGACTCGTTGTTGCCCAGGATCTGGGCGGTGGACGCCGTGGGCATGGGCGCCAGCAGCAGGCTGTTCCTCACGCCGTGTTTGGCGATCTTCTCCTTCAGCAGCTTCCAGTCCCACAGGTCGGTCGGCGTCTTCTCCCACATGTCGTACTGGAGGATGCCCTTACTGACGGGCGAGCCCTCGTATGTCTCGTAGGGGCCGAGCTCTGCGGCGAGTTCGCAGCTGGCCTCCAGGGCGGCGTGGTAGATGGTCTCGAAGATCTGGATGTTGAGCAGCTGGGCTTCGGGGCTTTCGAACGGATGTCGCATCAGGATGAAGGCATCGGCCAGACCCTGGACGCCGATCCCGATCGGCCTGTGGCGCTTGTTGGACGTCTCGGCTTCGGGGACCGGGTAGTAGTTGATGTCGATGATCTTGTTGAGGTTTTTCACGATTACCTTGGTGACGGAGGCCAGCTTCTTGAAGTCGAAAGTCCGCTCTGGCGTGACGTACATGTTGAGGGCGATGGAGGCCAGGTTGCAGACGGCCACCTCGTCCTTGCTGGTGTACTCCACCACCTCTGTGCAGAGGTTGCTGCATTTGATGGTGCCCAGGTTCTGCTGGTTGCTCTTCCTGTTGCAAGCGTCCTTGTAGAGCATGTAGGGCGTCCCGGTTTCGGTCTGGGACTCGATGATGGCGTACCAGAGCTGCTGCGCCTTCACCACCCTCTTCACCCTCCCTTCCTTCTCATATCTGGTGTAGAGCTTCTCGAACTCCTCTCCCCAGCACTCGTCCAGCCCGGGACACTCGCTGGGACACATCAAGGACCAGTCCTGGTTGCTCTCCACTCTCTTCATGAACAGGTCCGGGATCCACAAGGCGTAGAAAAGGTCTCTGGCTCTCTGCTCCTCCTTTCCTGTGTTCTTCTTCAGCTCCAGGAAGTCGAACACGTCGAAGTGCCACGGTTCCAGGTACATGGCGAAGGCCCCGGGTCTCTTGTTGCCGCCCTGGTCGACGTAGCGAGCCGTGTTGTTGTAAACTCTCAGCATCGGGACCAATCCGTTGGAGTTGCCGTTGGTGCCAGCGATGTAGCTTCCCGTCGATCGGATGCAGCTCACCGCCACGCCGATCCCGCCAGCGGACTTGGAAATGAGCGCGCACTGCTTCAGGGTGTCGTAGATGCCTTCGATGCTGTCGTCCTTCATGGTGAGCAGGAAGCAGCTGGACAGCTGCGGCCGGTTGGTCCCGGCGTTGAAGAGGGTCGGAGAGGCGTGGGTGAACCACTTCTCCGACAGGAGGTTGTAGGTCTCGATGGCAGCGTCGATGTCTCGCCCGTGGATCCCAACCGACACCCTCATGAGCATGTGCTGCGGCCGCTCGGCCACTTTCCCGTTGATCTTCAGCAGGTAGGAGCGCTCCAGAGTCTTGAAACCGAAGAAGTTGTAGGAGAAATCTCTGTCATAAATGATGGAGGAATTAAGGCGGTCCTTGTTTTCCATGACGATGTCGAGCGTCTCCTTGGAGATCATGGGAGAGTGCCGTTTGTTCAGAGGGTTGACGTAGGCGAACAGGTCTTCCATCACCTCGCTGAACACCTTCTTGGTCTCCTTGTGCAGGTTGGAGACGGCAATCCTCGCGGCCAGGATGGCGTAGTCGGGGTGTTTGGTCGTCAGGGTGGCCGCGATCTCCGCCGCTAGCGTGTCTAGCTCCACGGTGGTGACGCCGCTGTACAAGCCCTGGATCACCTTCATGGTGATCTGAGCCGGATCCACAAAGTCCGGGTTCAGGCCGTAGCAAAGCTTCTGGATGCGGGAGGTGATTTTATCGAACATGACGCGCTCCTGGCGCCCATCTGGAAAAAAACAAACAAACCCAAGAACCAGGACGGTTTTCTGTTAAATCAAGAACCAAATTCTGCCAAATGGAGCTTTTTCTTCAAAAATAAAACGAAAAAATTGTTGAGATTTTGGATTTATACGCTGTGCAAAGAAGACGCACGACTGAACACCAATTTTAATTAATTGACCATCATATGAATCCAGGTTCTGTTGACAGTAACTTCCTGTTGTAGAGGAATGGTTCCTCTCCACAGTTGCCATATACTTGTTCAGGATGAGGATTTCCCAGTGTATTCGGCTGGGCTTGGATTGTTTTTTTTTTTTTTTTTTTTAATAAACCGGAATAATTTAGATAAAACTGGACAGAGAGTAATTGGACCTGAATCTGTTTACATGCCTGGACTCAACTGGATTCCTGTAATTTGGTCTACAATGGGATCTGTCACTGGACCTAAATTAGTAGCTATAAGTTAAATTTGCATATAAACTGAACTAGATACCTTAGCCATTTAACTATTAAACTTAAAGTGCATTTATTCTCCTGGCCATCATAAATCTGCTACACCCAGTTTATCTGCCAGAGTCCAAATAAACACAGCAAGGAAGATATTATCAATCATTTACCCAATCCAGTTAATTATCTACAACTTGGCAAACCTTATAAAAGCAGTGGCAAAAAAGGGAACAATTATAAACAAATGTCATCACATTTTCAGCCTAGTAACTCATTTACATAAAAGGGGTTGTAAAAAAATCATAAACCATGTAGTTCAGTGTCTAAAACTGTCTTAAACATGAAAAATAGCATATTTTTTCCTAGATTTATTTAAATAAATTGTGAAGAATCATCCTAGGATTTGGTTTTACACATAATATAAACTGCCAACAGCAGTCAAAACCCTTCTAACCTTACTATTTAAAATCTTTATCATAATAATATCGAGCTTGGGTCGTAAACTACGGAGCCCTCCAGGGGACATGGGGAATTTTTTTTTTCTTTTGCGTTCCCTCGCAATAATCTACTGATCAGTTCATGCGGCATAATTGATACTGTAAGCCTTTTTTTACGGTGGCCGCCGTACTTTGCTTTAATACAAACTTATAAGGTTTTTCCATGGACTATTGAGTTATTATCGCGGCGTAATAAGTCATCTGATTGTGTCTCTATTGTGTTCTAGTCTGAATGGTTTAAAGGGCTGCTTTCAATGCCGTTCCATCTGAGCCTGAACAGACATAAACATACAGTAAATAAATCGATTTTCAATCAGTTTTCTGCACCAAAGAGTTAATAATAATAAACACGTTTTCACTGAGGCTCTATAAGAGCCATATGAATGAAATAAGTAATTATTGATATGACAGGAGCAGCGGCTTTGACACCTGGTGGTGGGCGTGTCGATGTTGGAGTGACGTCATCAAGTATGAATGGGAAGGTGACTGGCTGCTGCTGGCTCTGTGTGTGTGAGGAAGCGGGTGAGCTGGGTGGTCAGTCCTCGCAAAGTTTGGAGCATGATAATCAAAATTAAATAAATCGATAATTGTGACAGAACAAAGAGGTTTGGTGTTGATTGATACACGGACAGATGAGATTCACCGAGTTAACCCAGTGCGGCCCTCTACCACCATTAGTTTGCTGTGTTTTATAATAATAAAACATGTTTATTATTATTAAAGCTTTGGTGCAAAAAATTGATTGAAAATCGATTTATTTACTGTATGTTTATGTCTGTTAAGGCTCAGATGGTCCAGCACTGAAAGCAGCCCTTTAAACCATTCAGACTAGAACACAATAGAGACAATCAGATGACTGATTGCCCCTCGATAATAACTCAATAGTCCATGGAAAAACCTTATAAGCTTGTATTAAAGCAAAGTACGGCGGCCACCATAAAAAAGGCTTACAGTATCAATTATGCCGCATGAACTAATCAGTAGATTATTGCGAGGGAACGCAAAACGTTTTGCGAGGGAACGCAAAAGAAAAGAAAATTCCCCATGTCCCCTGGAAGGCTCCGTAGTAAACCTGGACTTTGAAGCTTTCTAATCCGCCTGTTTCTGTCTAAACCGAGGCCCGGGCCGGGAATCGAACCCAGGACCTTCTTGCTGCAAGGCAACAGCTCTACTAACTGCGCCCCCATTCTGACTTAAATGGATAATTAACCTTCATTTTTGGCGCCATTTGAAACAAAGGCTCATTTCTGGCCAAGTTATCAAAACCAATAGAGCTCAAACTACTTATCAAAGTGTGTTTGCTGAGTAAATGTAAAACATTGCCTACTTTTTTGTCTTCTATACTAAAGTTTACTGTTAAGTTAGCCTGCTACCTAGCTAGCTCAGACAGATTAAAATCCCTCCCACAGTCTGGAAGCACAACTGTTACTGCTAAACCTCCTTATCAAATAGATGCAGAGCCAACATTGGATTCGCTATCGTTCGCTGTTTATCTTATAAACAGCTGATGGCTAAAGCAGCAAAGCTACAAGAGGTCGAGCTCACACTGTTCAGCTAACCAAACTCACCTCTTTTGATCACGAACATCATGATGAAAGGTGATGTTTCCCGTCTCCTGCGTTAGCGGCAGACACAAGCAGAACCTCTTCTCGGTGTCACGGTGTGCAGGCAGACGCAGGACCCCTCAGGTTTGCAGGATAGAACCGCGAAAAGCTCTCAACTTCCCGCTAAAGATGTATTTGTAGGGAAGGCAGAGACCCTTGGCACGGACAGGAGTTTGGACCAATCAGCAGCGGGAATCTACGTGACCACGAACCAATCGCAGATCTTCTTCCGAAGATCACGGAAAAAAGATGGCGGGAGTGTAATGTATTACGAAATCTTTTAGTTTTCTTCCGTCCTTCACGAACAAGAATATTCACTAAAGCAAGAGCACACCATCAAACCAGCAAACATATAGTTAGCTTTTTAACTAACTTCTAATAAAGAAAGAAAGAAACAAAGAGGAAAAAAGAGCACATCAAAGGTCAATACTCTATTTTGGATCTTAAATAAAGCCAATTTTGCATATATACAGGGTGGGCCATAAGTTTCCATACATAGGAGAATGTAAAATGTATATCAGTTTTATTTTTCAGATACCCAAGAAGATGCGTTTGACAAAAGAGCAAAGAATTGAAATTATACTGATGGATGGACTGGGAAGCAGTTGTATGGTTGCACGAAACTTTTAACAGAAAAAAAGGAACGAGCATCACACACAACTGTGGCAAAACTTATTTGCAAGTTTCAGAAAACTGGAAATGTTGCAGGTCAACCACAAAGTGGTCCAAGATGTGCAGCGATTTCACGGAGTCCCACAAAAATAAAAATGGTTGTCCAATATAAAATGTTTATTTTTTCTATGTATGGAAACTTATGACCCACCTTGTACATTATTCGACCAGAAGGTAAAAGTTTAAACTGTGTCCACGATGCGTGGGGTGTGCAGAGAGGTTCCTAGGAACTAGAAGTGACAAGTCAATTCAGTTAATATCCATTTTTAAAGTAATATATATAGTCAATGCAATTATTTACAGCGCAATTATATAGGACTGAAATGCAGTTATTCAGGTGAAAAACCACCTTCTGTTAATTATTAATTGAATTGTCTTACAATTCTATACGAATGGCTACATATCCTCTTACATATCCACTAATGCTACTTCTATTCCATTTTGTAACACAGTTTAGTTTTTCGTTACCATAACAGGTAATCCTGTACCACTGGTTTTGTGTTATGTGTCTCCTCTGTCTTCCATCCCCCAATCAGTCGCAACAGATGGCAGCTCTGTGGGTTCTGCTGCAGGTTCCTTCAGGTCAATCGTGGGTCAATGTCTGAATATGAAATAGAAAATTTTTTTTTTTTTTTACAAATTGCTTTGAGGGAATATGTGCTGTGAAATGGTACCCAAAAAAATGAATTAAAAATTTATTAATGAATTATTAAACAGGTAGTCGAGAAGTCCATCGGTTGTGTTTGTTTGTTTGTTTGTTTGTTTGTTTATCTCTCCCTCTCTCTCTCTCTCTCTCTCTCTCTCATGTCCTGAGCTACACCTCTTGCCACTGGGTGGCGGTAATGTAGCTCAAAGTTGTTTACCCAACGCCATCTCTCCATGCGAAAAAGAAAACATTTAGCCAAGAATGTACACTAGATGGCGCTCCTCTCATGTGCCCTCACTTTCCAAAAGGCCTAAAAGAAGAAGTATCACTTGTTTGGACTCCAGCTCAGTGATGGGAGTGCTTTAAATTAGTTGTTTTTGTGGCTTATACGTAGTTTTGATGCGTATGCTTAAAATATGACGTTTCTCTTCTTTGTCAGTAACTACTAGTGTTTGAATTTTCAGGAAGCGACGAGGAACATCTGCAGAGCTCCTGCAGCTGTAGGTGTAACTTGTAATTATTATAAATGAACTAAGCAGATCTAGAGCCAACCATGGCTCCAGAGCACTCGCCATCGAGGAGAGCAAACAAAGCTGTAGCAGCTGATCCCGGATCGATATGTTGAGGCGAGCAGCTGCAGATGTCATCATAGCTTCCTGTGTGAATCTCCCTGCTGCGCCGCTCAAGTCCGTCGCTTTGGACACGTAGCCGTAACTTCAACGCGGCCGCTGGAGGAGGAGGACGCTTCCCACCGCGGCCATGTCCCGCTCCAGCCGCAGGTACAACAAGCCTCCGCAGCAGAGCAACGGCGGCTCTCTCCCTGGCTGCGACCGGGTGCGGATCCCCAGAGCCCGGGTCCTGCTGCTGGGTCTGCTCAGCGTCCTGGTGCTGGCGGTGGTGCTGAGTGTCTACCTGTCCAACGACACCTCCGGCGGACACGGGAGCCGCCTGCCAGCCGTGGATCTGGTTAAGGACAGGGTGAGATATGTCCACAGTTGGAGCTGCAAACCTGAACTTTACTTTATTATATTTGCCTGGGTTACCCGTGATAGTTGTTTAAACACGGGAAACTACTGTACATTTTTATCTGTTTATAGTTGTAATCAGATCTGTGTAGGTGTACCTTAATTTAGGTGAGGATCTGTAGTAATCTGGATGATATTTCATCATCACTTTTACTTTAAAGCCATTGAGTAACGGCTTTAAATGTCTTCTTTCACTACTGACAAGATGTAACATGCTTTACAGCAATGTTTTCAGTCAAAGGGGAGTGTTATGAAAAATCGACTTTACTTGTTATGATATTTCCCAGCTCCCACAGAGCACCACCCCCCACACACACCTCCCTCAATCAGCTCCTCCAGACTAGCCAGCAGCAATTAGCAAACACCTGGTGGAACTGAGCTTATTGTACCAGCTACCTCTCCATGCAATGCTCCTACAAACTATGTTAACGCTTCCTGGAGGAGCATTGCTGTGATGACATGTAGAAGGCAGAGTGTCGGAAAGAGCTGGATCTTCTTAAAGAGACAGAGGCCCGATTTCTTTTTAGTCATGTTTGATATATGCAGCATTTTTTTAACATCTGACAGTTGAAGTTACTTGATTGTGTTATGAAAGTGCCTGGAAAATACATAATACTGCCCCTTTAAGGTCATGTGTTAGTTCATATAAAATTATACTAAAAGTAATAAATATAGCAATTATGGATGCATAAAATGATGATGAGGGTCAACAAAAACAAACAGATGGGAAAAGTTTCAGTATGGAGCAGCAGAACAACTGCATAAATAAAATACTGGTTAAAGAATCTGAGCGTTCACAAACATCTTACTCCATTTCTGTGATCTTATTCTTGTTTTTATTTCGTCTCCTCTCTAACAGTTGTCCCACAAACCCAGTAAAGTCTCTGTGGCTCAGATCCGCCGCCTGGCCTCTCTGGTCGATGGCGCTCGCTTGTGGGAGACTCACCTGCGGCCGATCCTGATAGAGAGGCTCCCGGGGACTCGAGGCAGCCTGGCGGTGCAGCAGGTGTGTGAAACCGATCCACATTCCCTCCGGACACCAATATCCGAAGGGAAAGTGGTTTAGCATCAGCCCATACCGATCCGATACAGAGAAACGACGCTGAATCAACTTAAATTGTTTCGTCTTTTAAACACAGACATAAATGTACTAGTTACAAATTTATTTCATAACTACTATACCAGTACGGCACACTTAAACACACCAATAGCGTCACATGTTTGATCAGACATGAAAAAAATCAACTTTAGTTTGTTCAGTCAGTGCAATTAGGAGTAGAACAGCTCGTGGATTGGGTACATCATTACTGATAACCCATCTAGAATTTATTTCAATATCTGGACCGATACAGATATTGATATCGGATCGGAGCACATCTGGTGAATATTTAAAGATCACACTCGGCTGCGCTTTCAGACGCTGCTCGTCTTTTACTCCCTCTGCTCTGCCTCAGCACATCGCCTCCACCCTGTCCTCGCTGTCGGCCGGTTGGTCCGTGGATCTGGACTCATTCCAATCTCCAACCCCTCGCGGTCAGGTCACCTTCACCAATGTTGTTGCCGTCCTGGACCCCGCGGCACCACGCAGGCTTCTTCTGGCCTGCCACTACGACTCCAAGGCTCTGCCTCCAGACCCGCGGGCCCCGGAGAGGGTCTTCCTGGGGGCCAGTGACTCTGCTGTGCCCTGTGCCATGATCTTGGAGCTGGCCACTTCTCTGGACGCACAGCTCAGATCATTCAAACAGCAGGTGTTTTGTTGTTTTTTTTTTTGCTACAGGAGTGAGATGCTTAGATTCAGAAGGCAGCTGGGGCATCATGTTACTATTTTCGTCATTCCTTTTTTTTTTTTTTCATGTTGAAGTTTAAAGACGCTGACTAAAGTCTTCTCCCGTTTCATTCCCGTTACGCTCTGTTTTTAGCGCTCTGTCTCCATGGCTGCAGTCCCCGTCCTCTCCCCAGAGGCTGTAATTTACCGTACATTGTTGCTGCAGGAGGGAAACGATGACTCCAGCTGCTGTTTTAGAAAAATCATCTCTTCATGAAATCACTAACTTTTCCTCCTGCCCTAGAAACGCCCGGTCACCCTGCAGCTCGTGTTTTTCGACGGCGAGGAGTCGTTCGAGGAGTGGACGGCCACGGACTCGCTGTACGGCTCCCGTCACCTGGCCGAGCTCCTGGCCAACACGCCCCACCCTGCAGCCTCGCCTCATGCCACCGCGCTGCAGGCCGTGGTGAGGAAGCAGCGACACGAGTCAGCTGGGGTCATTCTCTCATCCAGACGGCGTACATTTATAAAACCACATTTATAAAATTTTAAAAAGGTTGACATGTACAATTAATATCCTGGATCTTCATATCCTCAAAAAGGGAGAAATTACAAACATTGCCCTACTTAGTAACTAGCTTACTGGCTGAGCTTTAGCACCATCTGCACTCTGTAACACCTCCAGGCTTTGAAAACTAAATTATTCCCCTTTCTCCTTTAACCTAGCAAAATCTGGAAACATTGAAACGCTGCGAATACTTTCCGGATACACTATGCTTTCCTTTTAGTAACCACGGTGCTTTGTAAGGAAGTGCTTACAACATTTGGATGGTTAAATCATCGTCTTGCAGCTGAGGTGTGTTCTGTCTAACCTGTGGGTTCCCACTTCAGATCCCAGCCGATCCAAACGAGGCGGCTGTTAACGTTTATTCAATATTTGGAAAGTGACCGGCGCAGACGGAACGGCTTCGCTTCCAGTCCTCCGTTGCCGTTTTGTAAAACGACAGGAGGACTACAAATCTAAAACCGTGCAGGAAATCGACGATGTCGCTCACGACCTCTCCGTCTGTGGCAAAATAAAAA